CGCCCGCGCTCCGCCCGCCCCCCGGCCCGCACCTCACCGTGCTTGGACTGAAATTTCCCCATGACGCCGCCGGGCCGGAACCCCCCTTCGGCCGTTTTCGGGGCTGCGCACTTGGGTCCGAAGTCCCGAGCCGGGGGCCGAGCGGACCGCGCACCGGGAGCCACTCACGGAGTAGGGCGGGGCGCACGGGCGCAGCTCGGCCCGGCTGGGACAACCGCGCGGGCGGCGGCCCGGCTCCCTCTGAGCGCGCGCACCCGCGCCCGGGCTTTAACCCGGACTCTCGCAGCGCCCCCCGCGGTCGCCGCCTGCTTAGCAACGCGCTGGCCCCGCGCATCCCCCCGGCATGCGGGCTTTGCTGGGTCGTTGGGAAAGATTGGACAGAGCCGCCTGTGACCCCGTCGGGGGCTGCAGCGGACCCTGGGATTCCGGCTCGCTGAGGATTCTTGTCGGGGGCACAGCCCTCACTAAACCTTCTTAGTCTTGTGATCCCGAATTCAAAAACGTGCTAAGGGTTAGAGTCCTCTTGGAAGGAAGAACCCTGGGGCCATCCAGGTTTTAGAGGCCCGAGTTGCTCTCCTAGGCTGGGAGAGGGAGTGGACGTAGGCACGGAGAAGTAGGAGCTCACAGGGAGGTACCTGGAGGAGAGAGAGAGCGGGGGTCTTCAGGTAGTGCCAAACTGCACCCTGGCCTACTGGAGAGGATCGTCCTTTCCTTTCAGAAGGCCTGCCTAGCTCTGGCCTCTTAGAGTCCCCACGTTGAAAAGGGACCTGCCTTGGCCACAAGCTGGCACTGGTCACAAACTTGAACAGGCCCTGCACCCTTCTCTTTGAACTTGGCTGGGGCACGGTCCTTGCCGCGGTGGGTGGGGGCTGTGGGGTGGGAATGTCAGCACTTTTCTGCCCCTGGTTGGTCCTTCTGGCTCTGATCAGCTCCTCCCTGGATGACCCCCTCTGGAACCCCTCTCTGCAGCCTCTGCCTGGGGGGCTCACCCACTCTTGCTCCCTTTTCTGCTTATTTTCAGAGAGGCCTCTTTCCCACCTCTTCCTTGGGACCCAGCTTGGCCTGAAGACACTTCTGTCCATGGCGCCTCAGTTTCCTCTTCCCACAGAGCTGCTGCGTTCGTGACACAATGTCTCCAGAAGTGGCTCCCAGTGCAAATGCAGCCTTTCCCTGCAAGCCGTTGCCTCACCTGGTGCTCAGTCTCTTAAGATGTGGTTCTCCCACTCCAGGTACACAATCCAGAAGCCTTTAGTCCGTTCATGGGCATGTGCCGCTGTCAGCACAGTTGACTCTAGAACACTAAGCTCCTCAGTGACACCCCACCTTTACCTCTGACTTCACCTAAAGTACCCCATCCCTAGGCAATCACGTAACCCTTTTGTTTCTGTGGATTTCTCTGTTCTTGACATTTCATATGAATTGACTTGTGCTGTGTGGTCTTCTGTGTTTAGCTTCTTTCTTTTGACAGGTCTTTAGCTTAGGCTAACCTTGAACACACTATGTAGCTGAGGATGACCTTGAACTTCCAAGCCTCCTGTGTCCACCTGCCCCAGTGCTGGGATACACCACATGTCCAGTTTATGCGATGCTGGAGATCAAACTCAGGCAAACACTCTTCTGAACTAATCTCCAGCCTTCTGGCTTCTCCCTTGAGGTACCATCAACAGCTATGATTTCCTCGTCCTTCTCTGTGGCTGAACAATATTCTGGCTTGTGTATATGCCACATTTATTGATAGACATTGAGGTTTTTGGTTTCAGCCGTTGTGATCAATGCCACTGTGGGGTTCATTTACAAGCATTTCTGTGGACCTGCTTTTATTTCTCTTGGGGACATCACCTAGGGTGAAGTTGCCGCCACACACAGCAGCTCTGCTTAATAACATAGGAAACTACTGACGTGTTCCCACCCCCTTTACATTCTCCTCAGCAGGGCGGGCTCCATCCATCCACATCTTTCCCCAGTGCCTGCAGACCATTCAGTTCTAGCCTGGTGGGTGTGACGTTGCATCTTGTGGTTCGATTTTGCTCTTTCTTGATGCTGGGTAATTTGGGATAGCTTCTCATACCTCCTCAGAGAACTCTTTTCAAGCCCTTTGAACTTACTGCTAAGTTGCAGAAGTTCTTTATTTTTCTGGATACAAGTCCCATTTGCAAATATTTCTTCCCACCCATGGGCTGTCTTTTTACCTTCTCAATGGCGTCCTTTAAACACAGACGCTGGACTGGAGAGATGGTTCAGTGGTTAAGAGCACTGGCTGCTCTTGCAGAGGACCTGGGTTCAATTCCCAGCACCCAGATGGTGGGTGGCTAACAGCCATCCATAACTCCAGTTTCAGGGGATACAATGCCTTCTGCCTCCGCAGGCTTGGCATGACACAAGTGCACTTACATACATGCAGGCAAAACACCCATACACATAAAGTAAAAAATAAAAACAGAGGTTGGGGCTGGAGAGATGACTCAGCAGTTAAGAGCACTGTCTGCTCTTGCAGAGGACCCAGGTTCAATTCCCGGCACCCACATGGTGGCTAACAACTGCCCATAACTCCAGTCCAGCGGCTCCAGTGCCCTCTTCTGACCTCCACAGGCACTACACAACATGGGTACACCCACCTAACATGCAGGCAAGACACTCATACATCTAAAATAATAAATAAGATATTAAAAAATAAAACACAGATGCCTTCATTCCTATGTCATCCAGGCTATCACAGTTGGATCAATCTACACTTTCCTCCTACCTGACAGCAACCCCCAGAAGGCACTTTTGTGGTTCAGGGAAGCCTTTGCAAGAAATGCAAAGTCGCTTACTCCAAACAGGGCCATGTCACAGTCACAGATGTGGCAGAGGCAGAATGGACCCTTAAGACTGGTGTCCCTAGTGGGACCCCTTACCCACCAGGGCACTCACCTGGTCTCAACCCTCCTCTGCCTGAGAGAGGATTCAACCCACAACCAGCAACTGGGGGAAGAGGCAAGAAGGTCCCAGGAAAGGACTTATGTGCAGTACAGGGAGAGGGGCAAGTCTGGCCATCCTGATCAGTGTCTTCAGCTGTGCTTGGGATGGTGGGTGTCTGCAGATATAGCCATGGGCATCATATTGGGCACACTGAGCAAAGCTGCAGCACCACTGTGCCCCATTGTCTCTCAAAGCCCAGGCCCACATTTGGGAAAATCAGGTGAGACTGACTTGGGCTAGTCTCTGCTTTACCCTGCTGGCGTATAGAAGTTGGCTTCCCAGGCAGGGATGGAAGTTTCCAGGGAACGACCATTGTTCTAACCCTCTGCATTCCCAGGACCACCACTTGTCCAGGTAGATGGATTATTGACTAGAGGAGACAGAGGACCTGGCATGATTACCAGGTCAGGTAACTGCAGCCTCAGGTTTAGGTTGGTGGAGAGCCTGGGACTTGAGGCCCAAGTGGCAGCTGAGGATGGAGGAGGATTTCCACTCCCTGCTTCTGTGTCCAGGCCCATCTTTGCCCCATGATGCTTACCCTGCCCGTGCTGCCATGGCCCCTCTGTGTTTAGACCAAGGGCATCAACATCAAGAAACAACAGAAAGGCTGTTGTGTGACTTCCTGGGGGGACGTAAAGAACCATTTGTTTGCCCCAGATAGAGAAGGCCCAGACAGACCAAAGAAAGGTTCCGTTCAAGTGCAACTTGGTGAACCATTGAGTCAATTCGGATTATTTTCAGGAGTATGGGGGAACTCACAGGCATCTATACCACCAAGAAGCCCCATCCCTGTTAACAGTTTACCTCTTACATAATATTAGGGACCGGAGGGACTTAGGGGTCCTGAAGACCTCATGAGCCTCATGACCCTCGTGAGGATCCAGAGCAGGTAACCGCAGCTCCTCTGCTTCAAGATGGCAATGGTTATTTCCTTCAAGAAAGGACTACACTACAAAGACCTGTACATGGAGGGATAGCCCTACCTTGGTGTCAAAGCAGAACCCATTCTCAAGTCCTGTGGTGCCCAGGAACCCTCCTTACATTCAGCCAGCCTGTCATGTTCTCTCTGGACCTATCTGGGGGACAGTCTCTGCCCCTGGACTCAAGCTTCTCAGTCCACTCCCACCTCACAGTTCTCATTGACCTCTATCGAGACAGCCTGAGCTTGGGCCCCTCTGGCTGAAGCAAGAGCATCTCTAGTCAAAAGTCCTTGTCCCTCTGGCTGCCCAGTGTGGAAAGACTGAGCACAGGCGGCCTGACCATGTGTGTGCATATTCACCTGTGCCCTATATCCACCTCCTGTGTCCCTGATCCAGCATCTTGAATCTTGCATCCCTTGTCCAGAATTCTGCCTTACTCAGGCCTGAGGCTCTGAGAAGAGGCCACCTGCTGATAAAATCAACTCTCAGAACTTTCAAAGAGCAGGGCTGTGCTGCAACCACGCCTGTCTCATTAAGTTGTGGTCTTGCAACTTTTCAAAGCACTTGTCATTATCTGTCAGAGGTGTGTAGGGCAGTGCCCTTATCTCTAAGATGAAGAGATGCTGCCTGGCATCCATCTCTGCGTTCAGGCTACAGCTATGTGTGCCTGCCCATGCTGATATCTCTGTAGGTTGTGGCACCTCCAACAGGGAAGACTCAGGACTCCCAGTAGCAGTGTGTACTCTGCTCTGTGAGCAGGGCCCCAATCAAAATGGGACATGGCTATGGGGTGGTTGGGGGGCTCCACAGAGGCCTCTACACTCCCCACCTCTGCCTGTAGGAGTGGTCTCAGGTTGGGCCTGGGTGTTATGAAGCTCAGGCAGGGGAGGGGGAAGACTTGCCTTCATGAAACCTTTGGAGAGAAGCTCTGATGTGTTTGTCACTGGGATAACATGCATCACCTCTCAGCTGTGACACTGAAAGCTGTTGTCAGTGTGGTGCTCCACTGTGCAGACACAGGCTTGTCCTACTGCTGTGGTTAACCATCAGCCTCCCATCTTCAGAAATGAAAGGAGGTCTGAGAAGTTTGGAGTTTTGATCAGCTACAGGCAGAAGGCAGGTGGTGGTAGAGAAGACCAGAAGTAGAGAGCCCTGGGTAAAGGGCATCTATGGGGCTCGGAGCTGAGCACACGCTACTGATCCTGCCCTGTTTGAAGCCATACAGCCCACAGGAAGCTCTCTCTCGATGTGAACCAGGGCACAGTCACTTGCCAAAACATCTTGCAGGAAATCAACCAGAAACCTTCCCCACGTGCTAGATCTGGATAGACCACCTTCATACGCAAGAACCCTCA